CATATACGTCTTTGTGTCATGGACTCATTGTTTGACAATACGTGTTATCAAAATCAGATCAGAAATTACTGGTTGTAATAAATTATTCATAAACATGAAGTAACTGAAATTCATAAAACTTACCAGAATTTGAAATACTCTTTTTAGTTTGGAAGAAAATCAAGTCCACTTAATTCACACTGTCCCTGTAATCATTTAAAATTTATTAAATATAAATTTATAAAATGATTCGGATTATATTGAATTCATAAATATATTAATCCAAATAAATATTGTGGATTGGTATAATTGAGTTAAATATTTAAGTCCAATAAATATGGATTTAATTAAAGTCTAAATTAATTAATTTGGGCTACATTGGATGAACCCAATTTGTTAAACCCAATCTCATCTCATTCTAGAGCCCATCTTGGCGCCACGTGTGCAGATGATGTGGCATGCCAAGTCAAATAAGAAAACCAATAAAATCATGACATGTGTCAAAGATGACAAGCCCGCTCCATAAAGCCCAAATGCCATGTCACTTCAATCTGATTGGCTGAATGAAATCTTATTCCAATCGCAACTCCTCTATTCTAAAACTATAAATAGGGGTCCTCATAATTCAGAAAAGAGACAAAAAATTCTAAACAAGAAGCTAGAGAAACTTTGTGGTAAAACGCCATTTAATTCTCTACAAAGCTCCAAGTTTAAGAATTCAAGCATTCAAGTTCAAGAACGATCAAGATCAAGACCACCGAATTCAAGAACAAGCTCGAAGCGCTTGAGTTCAAATAAAAGTCAAGATCAAGATAAAGTTCAAGTTCAAGTTCATCATAGATTCAAGAACAAACTTTAAAGCCCTTGAATTTATATTTGAAAAGGCGAATTCAGAGAAATTATAGAGATTGCAACACTCGCATTTGAAATAATAAAATCGGTCATTGCTATAATTTTCCGTTCTTGATTATTATTTTCTCGGCACGAATTTTATTGTCTACAAATTCTGGCACGCCCAGTAGGACAATCTCTACCTCTCATCTCAACTTTTCAAACGTCAAATAATATCAAGATGACTTCCATGAACAACAACTCTCGATCAACCTCCTCTAAGGTTGCTAGCTCCAAGTTCTCTACTGAAGTTGAAGACATCCTTGGAGTTACCTTTGGATATTTTGGAGTTGTTACGAGAAGCAAGGCTTCTACACTAGGGAAACAAACGCTTCAAGTGTCGTCTGCATCAACTCCTGTTTTTGGGTCTTCGACTCCAAAAGGAGCAAGTTCCTCCACAAATTCTCTAGAAGGAGGAAGTAGTGTTGCTGAAAAGATAAAGAAGACATTGGCTCTACTTGAGCAATCTGGTTCCAAGAACTCTACCATAAGGGAGAACTGAGATTCAACTTGTGAATCATCTCCACGTATATCGTGTAATGTGAGTCCACTGAAAAAATTAACCTACGCGACAATCCATGTTACTTGCCTGCATCTCCGATGATCATGCAAACGATGGTGACTGCTGCTTCCTCTCCTGAGGAACAACTCGCAAATTTGACGAAGTTGGTTGAAGGATTAATGAAGCATGTAAAACACCAAGAATCTCGAATTGACAAGTTGATGGATAGGATAGAAGGACTTTTAGATGGATATGTGAGCCATGCACTTGGAAAGGGCATTGAAGTTCAAGAAATTGAAGATCCTGCTAAGAAAGCCCCGTTTGTTAAAGAGATGCCAGTTTCTTCTAAAGGAATGATCCAACTCGATCGCTTGAAGGAGTTTATTGAAGGAACTATCAAAGATAAGTATGAAGTCTCCACCAAGTCTTCTCATATGTATGTTAAGCCATACACTGCTAGGATTGATAACTTTAAAATGCCTGCTGGTTATCAACCTCCAAAATTTCAACAATTTGATGGAAAAGGAAATCCGAAACAACATGTCGCGCACTTCGTGGAGACATGTAATAATGATGGAACATATGGAGACTATCTTGTCAAACATTTTTCCACTCTCTAAAAGGAAATGCCTTTGATTGGTACACGAATCTCGAACCTAACTCTATTGATAGTTGGGAGCAACTAGAACATGAGTTTCTGAATCGCTTCTATAGCACAAGGCGCACAGTGAGCATGGTAGAACTCACGAATACTCGCCAAAGAAGGATGAACCAGTCATAGATTTCATAAATCGATGGAGGAACGCGAGCCTAAATTGCAAGGACAAGCTTAGTGAAGCTTCTGCGATCGAAATGTGTATTCAAGGAATGCACTGGGAGCTTCTTTACATCTTGCAAGGAATAAAACCAAAATCTTTCAAGGATTTAGCTACTCGCGCTCATGATATGGAGTTGAGCATGACATCTGCCGGAAAAGATATGACTATTGTCCATGATCCTCGCAAAGGAAGAGACAAACAGGAACCCAAGAGGTGGAGCAAGTTTCTGCCCAAAAATGAAAACAAAGAGTCCATGAGTGTAAATGTGTCACCCGCAAATTTCACCACGAATGAGGGCGTAAGACAAAATGTGAGAACGACTTTCCAAGCACGTTCAAATCAAAAGTCGACGCTAAGGGAGATGCAAGGAAAAAAGTATCCCTTCTTGGATTCTGACGTTTCTGAAATTTTTGATGAATTACTTGAGTTAAAGCTCATTGACTTGCCAGAGATGAAGCGACCCGATGAAGTTGGAAAAACTGATGACCTAAATTATTGCAAGTATCACAGACTTGTGAGTCATCCTCTTGAAAAATGTTTTGTCTTTAAGGATAGAGTGATGCAATTGGTAAACGAAAATAAATTATCCTTGATGATGAGAAGGCTAGTTCTAACCAGATCTCTATCACGTTTGGGTCATTGGATCCAATCCAAATGTATATCTCTGAAAATCATGAAGAAAAGCCAGTAGAGCAGGACGTTGACATAGATGGTGATGAGGGTTGGATTTTTGTAACTAGGCGAAGACGCAACAAGTAAATCTTACGAAAATAAATATCCGAGCAACCGGTTAGAGGAAAAATGGTGAAGAAATCAGAGAAACAAAAATCAATCAAGCGCCCCAAAAGGGCAAAGGTTGAAGGTCATCACTACCAAAAACCTCGACGTCTTGTGACTCTAGAGGAATTCTTGCCAAGATCATTCGACACAAAGTCTACTCAAGGCAATGTTGAGGCATCATGTTTCAATGTGGATAAAGAACAAACAATGAAGGTGCCTCCTATTGTAAAAGAAGGAACAACGAGTGAATCCTCACCAAAAGCGTCTCTTAGGGAAGAAGAAAAAGAAACAAGGGAAATCTCAGAAATGATGTTTCTTTCATCTTCTGAAAAATCTATTGAACTTTCTTTCCAAGAAGCACATGTCTGTGATACTAAAATCACATTTACAGATAACGATCTTCTATTTGGTGAAGCACTACACAATCGTCCTTTGCATATGGTGGGTCATGTGCTAGAGAAGAAGATAAATAGAATCTTAATAGATGAAGGATCTGGAGTCAACATTTTACCTATCCACACATTGAAGGAACTTGGCATCACGACTGGGGAACTTAGTGAAAGTCGTCTGTTGATACAAGGATTTAATCAAGGCTGGCAAAGGTCCATAGGCTCTATGAAATTAGAGATCCACATGGGAGATTTGAGATCAAGCGCATGGATGCATGTGATTGACGCAAAAACATCATACAATATATTACTTGGTAGGCCTTGGGTACATGAGAATAGAATTGTCTCATCTTCTTACTATTAATGTTTGAAATATCTTGAAGGTGGAATTGAAGGAAAGATAGTTGCAAATGATAATCCTTTCACCGAAGTGGAGACACCCTTTGCGGATGCGAAATTCTATATGAGAAGTTATGTTGTTAAAGGGTTCAAATCCAATGATGTCAAGTCAATTAAGATTGATAATATCGTAAGTAAAAGAATTTATGCAGCTATCGATAAGGCAAAAATTGACACTAAAGACTCTTGTCCCATTCTTAATGAAGGGAAGATCATGTCTTCAAAGAAGAAGCAGAATTCTAGGCTTTGCTATTTTCCAAAAGCGAAGAAAGAACAAGATCAACCATCTAACCTTGAAGAAAATGCATTAAGAGGGCTAACTCTTCCTATCAGAAGGATTGATGCAATAAACCTATCTTCTAAGTTGCCAGAAAAGTAAGTCGCTCAAGATCAAGTGCTAGATATGACTCTCCCTACAAAACGCACAAGAGAAGGTTTTGATCCCAATGCCTACAAGTTATTTGTGAAGGCAGGATACAACCCTAGCGAGCCATCAGTGCTAGGGAAACTCCCATCAGAAGATACAACTAGGAAAGCGCGTGAAGGCCTAGGTTATAGCCAACCGCCGCCAATTCGCATTTCCATAAGAAGGGCCAGTAATAATCATATAACTTTTGAAGATGACGTCACTGCTCCCAATAAAAGGCCTTCCGTCTTTGATCGACTTGGTGAAGTGACAACAAAAGTTTCTGTGTTTAAGAGGTTAGGTCCTCTGAAGAAGAATAACAAGAACCTGAGAAGTTATTTAAAAGTTACAAGGCCTACTTCACATTTGATTCGAAAGGATTTTAGAAGTTTGATTCCTTCTAGGATGAGGCGACGAGTGGAACTTGTGGTTTCCTGTAAAGAGGAACTCAAGGCAAAGGTTCATATTGTGGTTTACACTAAAGAGCGTGAGGAAGATGAAGAAAGTGTACGTTCCTCAAATCATGTTACAATCCAAAATGAGTATGATTCTTTGCCTCAAAAGAAGATTGAGGAAGAGGTAGAATATATTTCCTCGTGTTGTCATATATCGTTCAATGATAATGATCCTGTGGAAGAGGAAGATGCTAGAGATGCTCCACCAGAACTTGAAGAAGGAGTAAAGATCACAATAGATCCTTTGAAGGAAGTTAACCTTGGCACTGATGAAGACCCGACGCCAACTTACTTGAGTGCGTTTCTAGAAATTGATGAAGAAGTCGCTACATGAATATACTCAAAGAATATAGAGATATATTCGCTTGGAGTTACAAAGAAATGCCTGGATTGAATCCTAGAGTAGCGGTCCATCAATTGGCAGTCAAAAATGGTTCTCGTATAGTTAAACAAGCTCAAAGACGTTTTAGACCAGACTTGATTCCATTGATAGAAAATGAAGTTAACAAACTCATTGAGGCAGGCTTTATTCGTGAGGTCAAATATCCTACATGGATTTCAAGTATTGTTCCTATGAAGAAGAAGAATGGTAAAATTCGAGTTTGCGTTGACTTTAGACATCTCAATAATGCATGCCCTAAAGATGAGTTTTCTCTTCCCATTCCAGAGTTGATGATTGATGCCACCACTGGTTATGAGGCAATGTCGTTCATGGATGGTTCTTCTGGATATAATCAAATCCGCATGTCACCAAAATATGAAGAACTCTCTGCATTTCGCACGCCAAAAGGTATTTATTGCTACAAAGTGATGCCATTTGGTTTAAAGAATGCTTGCGCCACATATCAAAGGGCTATGCAAAATATCTTTGACGACTTGCTCCATAAAAATGTTGAATGTTAAGTTGATGATTTGGTAGTGAAGTCGAGGAAAAGGGGTAATAATTTGAAAGACTTAAGGATGGTGTTTGAGTTACTCCGAAGATATCAATTAAGGATGAATCCATTGAAATGTGCCTTCGAAGTTACTTCCGGCAAGTTCCTTGGCTTTATTGTGAGACATCGAGGGATTGAAATTGATCAAGCCAAAGTCGATGAAATATCAAAGATGCCTGAACCTCGAGATATCCATGAGTTAAAAAGTCTCCAAGTAAAGTTAGCCTACTTGAGAAGGTTCATCTCAAATCTAGCGGGGAGAGGTCAACCATTCAATCATCTCATGATTAAAGGTGCTCCTTTTAATTGGGACCAAACATGTAGCGAAGCCTTTAAAAGTATCAAATCGTATCTAGCAAAACCTCCGGTTTTGGGAGCCCCTATACCTAAAAAACCATTGATACTCTACATTGCAGCACAAGAAAGGCCTGTAGGAGTCCTTTTAGCTCAAGAGAATAGTGAAGGCAAAGAAAATGCACTTTATTACTTAAGTAGAACAATGACGCCAAATGAGCTAAATTATTCGCCAATTGAAAAATTATGCTTGGCACTGATCTTCTCAATTCAAAAGATGAAGCATTATTTTCAAGCTCATGTTGACCGCCTTATTTCTAGAGCAAATCCCATCAAGTTTGTTATGTCAAAAACTGTCCTTAGTGACCGACTAGCAAGATGGTACCTCCAATTCCAACAATTTGAGATTGTGTACATCCCTCAAAAATCTGTGAAGGGACAAGCACTAGCGGATTTCTTAACAGACCATCCTATACCAAATGATTGGAAGTTAATTGATGAGTTTCCTGATGAAGATGTGATGTTAATTGAAGTTCAACCTCCTTGGAAAATGTACTTTGACAGGGCTGCACATCGCGGTGGAGCTGGTGCTTGTGTGGTGTTCATCACTTCACAAGAAGAGATTCTACCATTCTGTTTTACTCTAAAACAATGTTGCTCCAATAATGTCGCTGAATATCAAGCACTGATACTTGAACTTGAAATGGCTGTTGACAGAAACAATTACATTTACAGGTCTTTGGTGACTCTCAATTGGTGATTAATCAACTCTTAGGAAGTTATGAGGTAAAAAAGCCTGAATTGCGACCTTATCATGATTATGCTCAAAAGTTGATAAGATGGCTTGGGGATGTAACCCTTCAACATGTGCGTCGAACAGATAATAAGAAAGTTGATGCATTGGCTACTCTAGCTTCAACGCTAACCCTTCCTGATCAAACGCAAGTAACTGTCTGTCAAAAATGGATAGTACCACAGTCAAATGAGGAAGAATATATTGAAAATAAGCTTGATCATATCGTCGCCATTGTTGAAGCTGCGATGGAAGATTGGAGACAACCCATCATTGACTACCTATGTTATGGGATACTTCCAGAAAATCCAAGAAGAAGAACTAACATACGTCGTCGTGCACCTCGTTTCCTTTACTACAAGGATACACTATATAGAAGATCATTTGAGGGTATGTTATTACGATGTTTGGGAGAGGAAGAAGAGATTCAAGCTCTGCAAAAAGCACACTCAGAAGTATGTGGATCACATCAATCTGGACCAAAACTTCATTTTCACATAAAGAGGATGTAATATTACTGGCCAACCATGGTGAAAGATTGCTTATATTATGCTAGAAAATGGGATGCTTGTCAATTTCATGCAAATTTCATTCATCATCCACCCGAAGTATTGCACCCAACCATCGCATCTTCGCCATTTCACGCTTGGGGACTGAATATTGTAGGACCATTACCAAAGTCTTCTGGTGGACACTTGTACATCTTGGCTGCAACTGATTACTTTTCAAAATGGGCTGAAGTTGTCGCTCTAAAAGAGGTGAAGAAAGAGAATGTTGCAAATTTTATCCGAGTAAATATTATCTATCGCTTTGGCATCCCTCGATATATAATAACAGACAATGGAAAACCATTTGATAACAAGTTAATGAACAAGATTTGTGATCTTTTTAACTTTAAGAAGCGAAATCTTCTATGTACCATGCTGCCGCTAATGGTCTTGCTGAAGCATTCAATAAAACTCTATGCAACCTGCTCAAGAAAGTTGTCTCCAAATCCAAACGGGATTGGCATGAAAGAATGGAAGAAGCTTTGTGGGCATATAGGACAATATATCGCACACCAACTCAAGCAACACCATATTCACTTGCTTTTGGAGTTGAAGCAGTCCTGCCCCTCGAGCGTCAAATACCCTCATTAAGACTTGCTATTCAAGAAGGGCTCACTGAGGAAGAAAATGCTCGATTACATCTTGCTGAGTTAGAAGCACTTGATGAAAAGAGGTTAGAAGCCCAACAAAACCTTGAATGTTATCAAGCTCGTCTATCTCGTGCTTTTAATAAGAAGGTTCGCTTGAGGTTCTTTCAAGTTGGAGATCAAGTTCTCGCGGTAAGAAGACCCATAATTACTTCGCACAAGTCTGGGGGCAAATTTACTTCAAAGTGGGATGGACCATATGTCATACAAGAAGCATATTCAAATGGTGCTTACAAGCTTGTTGATGCTGATGGCTTAAGTATCGGTCCTATTAATGCCAAATTTCTAAAGAGATACTATCCTTGAAGGAAGATGATGCTCCTTAAAGTACGAGCCTAAATTGCATGTCACTCCTGGCCCGCAAGAGTATAAACTATGTACGGCACAACCACAAAAAAATCACTCAAATCCCCAGAACTACGTTGTGACTTGATCCTCTTTATTGAGGTACGTAGGCGCTTAGAACCATATTCTAAGTTCAGATGCATGAGTGTCAAAAAAAATGTTCCCACTTAAATTCAAAGATAAGTCAAAGCGATATGTATATTATCTTTTGTCTCATCAAACTTTAGAATTGTACGAAGTATTGATGGGTCTATGGAAGGAACAAACCTTTATATTTTTTTGAATTTACAAGTTAAAGGTTCTAAAACTTGTTACGAGTTGAAGCATCGGATTCCACAAAATTCATAAGTCAAGTTTAAATGTGCAAACTAAATAAAGATGTGGAACTTGCGCTATATTCATTCGTATTGACATGGAAAATGCGACATGACTTTGAATTAATAAAAGCTTGCAATCAAGAATTAACGACCAATCAAAAGTTGAAAAGTAAAAAAAAAGTCTAATCTAAGCGTAACTTGTAGTTGGTCAAATCTTGACGACTACCCTCCAAGCACTCTCTTTTCTGTTCCATGCGAATTGAATCTTCAAGCGTTAATAAACTCATATTCTCATACGAGGATATCACATCTTCCGTAGCTAAAATCTTGGCTTGAATCTCCTCGACATTCTTCTTAGCAGCTTCTAAAACGGCTTCAAGACCCTCTCTCTCTCCTTGTAAAGTTGCTAGCTTCCTCTTAACCTTCTTTAGCGATTTCTTGTTAGAAGAGACATGTTTTGCCTTCTCACATTCCTCTACTTTGAATAATTTGAGACGCTCTTTGGCATTGGAAAGCAATTCCATCTTCCTATCTTCATGCGTCTTGTCAACAAAATTAGAGTGTTCTTGATCATAAGAAGTAGCTTGATCAATAAGAGAATGTACCAAGCTTTTTAACGGTGAAAGATCTAATAAATTCATCTCACTCATCTCCTTGAAAATCTCACAAATATCATCTTTGTAAGATGAAATATTGTTTAGAGAAGTTCTGGAAAGTTTTCTATAGATCACTTCCCAAAGACCCAAGATGTACTTCCTTTTGTGATTGAACACCACACCTCTTCCTTCTAAGACAGACATAGCACCATTAATCTTGGGAAGAACTCGGGAAAGCTCATTTGAGTTTGGAGCCAACCCTTTTAAAGATTGGCCACGAGAAGTAGACGATGACTCTTGAGCTTTCTCGATATTTGAAATTGATTTTGCCTTAGGTCTCAATATCGCGGTAGACTCTTCGCTAACTTGTGGCCTTTCACGCAGTGGCCCTTGTAAATGTCCATCATCATCAACCTACAAATGAAAGAGGCAGGTTAGCAAGGTCATTTCACTTTATTTATTTATTTATTTTTAAATAAATAAATATATATAATAAAAATATATGTATATACACCTTGTTACTCTTAATTGTCAATGATCTAGAAGGACTATCGACACTTCGGACTTCTACAATTTCAGCCCAGATAGTTCAACTCTTTGCCTCTTCCAACATCGATCCTGGCTAGTTTTGCTTGTTTCTTGAAGGGACCGTTTACTAGAGAAGAGAAATTGGGGGCACTTCTCTTTATTGGTAGGAGTATGAACCAGTTCTTTCTTAGATGCCTTAGAAAAGTTAAGCTTCTTACTTTGATGTTGGGGAGCAAGTGGTGTCTTGACTTTTGAAAGTGTTTTCTCGATATCTTGACTTTTGTCTTCTAGAAGGGTAACAAAATTCTGACCCAGCTATTTCCACCATAACATCCAAATTATCCTCAAGAAATATTGCATAGGACTTCTCCCACCAAGATGAATATTGGGTGGTATAAAGCTTCTTTGCGGAAGTTACCGCAGGAGGAAATGTCGCTTTAGACATAGTCACACGTGATAAAAAAATGCACCAGTATCTAAGGCCTTCATCAAGGAACTCAACACGAATATCATTTTCTAATTAGCCAGGATTATCTTGATGGAAACCAAATTGGCGATTAAATCGGTGCGGACTATATGGCTCAATAACAAAGGAACCTCCCCTCCTCAATGGAAGATAATTAAAACGAATGCTCATAAAATAAGCTTGATCCAACTCTGATGATTTTTGATCATCAAGATAATAAGTTGGGTGAGTCCTACTAAGCATGGTTGCATTCCACACAATGTTCTCCCCCCGATGAACACGCTTTCTTGCCTCATCTTTGTCAAAGTACTTTGCAGCACCTTCTCCAGAATATACCACCATTCGTGGTAGAGAAGGTCCACTAGTAAGCGGATAGTGTGTTTTGAGATAATAAGCAAGCCAACCATAGACATAGTGAATGGGAAAACAAACTCTTACATGGTCCAACTGTGAAGAATTTGAAATTTTATTTAAGCCATGATATATGCTTGTTAAAATTGGAACCGCAAGGCTAACCCTTTTACCGCTCGCCATTAAGCTCGCTATCTTGAAAGTCTCAGGTCGAATGAAATTGCCTTCTTCAGATGGAAGTACAAAGGCACATAACCAACATGACAAAAAGGTCGTCAGATAAGTCTCATATTTTTGATGTTTCACTCCAATCTTAGAAAATACCATCTCTTGAGTACTTGACCATGTATTTATCTCGGTAGGTATTTCGCCTGTAGGATTATGAGTAGATGAAAGACGTTGAGATTTCTTCTCTTTTCTTGGGGGAGCTAGCTCATATTTGAGATCTTTCTTGCACCAAAATTGTATCCATTCATTAAAAGAGATTCCCATATTACCATGATTTTCCTCTTTAAGGTGATGAAAGGCAGCAAACATATATTCATAGGTTCGAGGAAGAAATCTTTCCCTCTTATCATTAAATCATGTAAGTTCAGTGGAGTTTGGCATCACTTTTTCATAAGGGTATCCGTTAATCGGCAAACCACCAAGATTATGCAAGTCCCAAAGAGATATGGATGTTTCCCCAGCAGATGTAAGTAATGTATTTGTTTGAGGGCACCAAGCCTCACAAAAGGCTTGTATAATATTGGAGTTCCGATCATAGGTAAAAAGAGAAGCAAATACAGCATCACGAATACAAGCACTATTTAGAGTTTGCCCATTTTTGCTTAAGACATCTTCTGTCCATTCCCAGTACCCCGGAATGCAACGATATTCACCTTTAACCACAATTTTGTCTCCCCAACTTAGTTCTTCTTGAATCATGCGGCGACCTAAATTTGAAAGGGTCCTCGCAACGTTTATACGATGAGGAATTGGTTTCTCAAGATACCATACTTTAGAGTTTTTGTTAGCTTTATGATTGTATTCGAATGTCCAACTTTTCATGTAAAGTGTGTTTCTCAATTGTGGCCATGGATCAACATAACGACCAACAAAATATTCCTAGACCAAAAACATAGTCTCCATCGTACTACCCTCTGATCCAACGATGAGATATTCGAGTTTAGAAGATGGACAAGTATAATCCTTGAAGAAAACCATTATTCAAATTGCAAAAAATAAGAAATAAATAAAAGTGTTAATGTTTATTTATAATAATGCATGCAAGAAGATAAAACTCGAAAAAGAGGGTTGTTAGGAAGGGCGAATAATTTAAACATTCTGGACATTGTAACACCTTGAGTTTATTTTCAAGGTGGGAGCGTTACACGGTATCCTATTAAAGCTTCAATATGGTTAAGCATTCGAAACCTTGTAACACCTTGAGTTTATCTTCAAGGCGGGAGCGTTACACGGTATCCTATTAAAGCTTCAAGATGGTTAAGCATTCGGAACCTTGTAACACCTTGAGTTTATCTTCAAGGCGGGAGCGTTACACGATATCCTATTAAAGCTTCAAGTTGGTTAAACATTCGGAACCTTGTAACACCTTGAGATTATTTTGAAGGGGGAAGTGTTACACGGTATCCTATTAAGCTTCAAGTTGGTCAAGCTTATCCTTCAACGAATCTTTAAATTTCGATGTCTTAAGGTGGACAAACATGTCCCTTTGCACCTTAAGCTAGAGTTCCGACGGATTTATCTTTAAAAGAATCTTTAAATTTCCATGCCTTAAGGTGGACAATATTTGTCCCTTTGCACCTTAAACTGGTCTTTTCACGGGTTTATCCTGTCTCAAGTTGGTTAAGCATTCAGGACCTTGTAATACCTTGAGTTTATTTTCAAGGCGGGAGTGTTACACGGTATTCTAGTAAAGCTTCATGGTCAAACATTTAGGACCTTGTAACACCTTGAGGTTATATTCAAGGCGGGAGCGTTACATGGTATCCTATTAAACCTTCAAGTTGGTCAAGCGTTCAGGACCTTATAATACCTTGAGGTTATCTTCAAGGCGGGAGCGTTACACGATATTTTAGTAAAGCTTCACGGTTAAGCATTCGGGACCTTGTAACGCCTTGAGGTTATCTTCAAGGCGGGAGCTTTGCACGGTTTTCTAGTAAAGCTTCATGGTCAAACATTCAGGACCTTGTAACACCTTGAGGTTATCTTTAAGGCGGGAGCGTTACATGGTATCCTATTAAAACTTCAAGTTGGTTAAAGCATTCGGGACATTGTAACACCTTGAGGTTATCTTCAAGGCGGGAGCGTTACACGATATTTTAGTAATGCTTCATGGTTAAGCATTCGAGACCTTGTAACACCTTGAGGTTATCTTCAAGGCGGGAGCGTTACACGGTATTTTAGTAAAGCTTCATGGTTAAGCATTCGGGACCTTGTAACACCTTGAGGTTATCTTCAAGGCGGGAGCGTTACATGGTATCCTATTAAAACTTCAAGTTGGTTAAGCATTCGGGACATTGTAACACCTTGAGGATATCTTCAAGGTGGGAGCGTTACACGGTATTCTAGTAAAAGTTTCAAGTTGGTTAAGCATTCGGGACCTTGTAAAACCTTGAGGTTATTTTCAAGGCGGGAGCATTACACGGTATTCTAGTAAAGCATCATGTTGGTTAAGCATTCGGGGCCATGGAACACCTT